CACAGGACACCTCCCTCCTGCCCAGGAAAGCACCTGCCCATCCCTCACTCTCCTTACAGGGCACCACAGCACCTGGTTTTTAGGAGAATACAGGTGTAAGGAAGTGGGTTGGAGTGCCCTGAGCTCCAGGTAACATTTAGGAACATGCAGGAACCCCCAGCCTGGGTTCAGGAACACGTTTGCAAACGCTGCTTTATTTACCGTGTCTCCCCTCTAGTGCTGGGTTGTAACTGTGTTATCTTGTGTGTGACAGCAGTGGGATGGATGGGATGGGAGTTAATCTGTGTCCACCATCTCTCTTGATTTCTCCTTCATTTCCATTTCTTTAAAAAGTGGAAGTTTCATTAAAAAAGCAGCACTTTTCTATTAAATAAGTACCAGAGAAGAATGACTGCCTCGGTATCTCATCAGCAGTGAATCTTTTTAAAACCACTCAGGAGACAAGGCTCAAATAATATATTTAATAAGAACCACTTGGATATCACTTCTTAAAGCAATTAACATATTATTAGAGATAAGCCAAGATGCAACAATTAGACCCAGATTTCTAAGACAGATTCCTACGTTTTTGGAGGGTTCAGACCTCGGGCCGTGGCCTCAGCAATCACCTCTGCATGTCACAAACCAGTGTCAGAATTTCACTTACACGGAGACAGCAGATTAAATTCTCCCTTTCATTCCTCTTTTTGCTCGTGCTGATCTTCCTGATTCTTCTCAGTCACTGAAAGCTGCAATTACAGCAGTGACAAGGGGCAAACGCCTCAGTGGGGGCTCTGCCCCACCTGAGGGATCATTTCCAGCTTCCCCGTCCTTGTGAAGAATTAGGGGGCTGTTTTCCACATGGAGCATGAAGGAAAGGCATCCATGAACCTTAACAAGGGGTCAAGGAGCTCATCACCGACAGGATCCTCACCTTGCGCAGGGACGGCACCGATGGCACCGGGAGATGCTCTGCCAGGGGCTGCTGGACACAGGGCCATCCCAGAGGGGCTGTGGTGACCATCCAGAGAGCTAAACACAGCCAGCCCCTCCTGCCTGGCAGCTGGAGCAGCTCCTGCCAGGGCTGGGAGCCGAGGTGAGGCCACACATTCAGTCGTGCTGCCGGTGATGGGGCAGGAGCCGCCAGCAGCGGGACAGACGGAGGGCTGGGGGGTGGCACCTCATCCCACCACGATTAAATGTGACAAAGCCCATCTGCTGGTGCCCTGGGCCCTGGCAGGACTCGAGCTGGACTGGGAACTGGGGATTTTAGAGCGCTTTTGGTTGTTTATCCTGAAACATGCAGGCTTTTCCCTCCTCTGACCAATATGTGGCTGCCGCTGGTGACTGACAGCAAACTGATTGCTCAGTTAAAGGGCTTGTTACCAGTTTGACCAACCCCCCCAGACTGGCCTGGAGTCCATTTCAGCAGGAAATTGCTTTTCTTAGAAGGCAGCAACAAATGGAAGGGGAAAAACAGATCATGCATCTAAAGATTTGTGATCATATCGGGTTGGTAAGGGCTGAGATTTATCACACAAGAGATGATGCAACAGTGAAGGAGGAGAGCAAAATTCCACATTGACTCCCTACTTTGCAGTTCAGGACAACTAAGAGGTTTTACTTCATTAAGGAAGGCAAGGGAAAAAATCAGGGACAACCTGATTGGAGGGAGTCCTGTAAAGCCTAAATGAACAATCAGTCCTATGTTGCTGTAGAAGGAACAGTGAAATATATCTGCTTCTGTTCAATAAATTACTAAAACATCAGTTATAAACCCGCTGCGTGGCATTGAAAATTAAACTCATTAAACATCCAGGTAGCTTCATCCTGATGCAAATGGAAGACAGGCATGAGTGCTCTGCAGCAAACAACTCTGTGCACATCCCACCTTTGGGAACCATATTTACACATACATCTCATATATTAATATATTTTAGTGCACCCTAGCCAGAGGGCAACCAGAAAGAGTATTATTCTGTGAGAAGGACAGGAGATGGACTGGCTTCTCCTCTCTGCTGAGCAAGGCCCGTGTCCATCCACGCACAGCAGTGGTGCAGGACCACGTTTCCCTTTTCCAGGTCAGCCAGACCTCAGGGCCCCCCACACACAACGGTCTCCCGTGACGACTGGGGGGGTTTGGGAGCCAAGATTTGGCAGCCAAAATTATTGTGAGACCAGTCCACTGTGTCAACAAGCCTGAAGTGACTTTAAGGTCCAGAATTTCGGCAAAGGGCCATTTTTTTTGGTCTCTTGCCCTCCCTCTCTGCTCCTTCCAGGGCTCGGGGAGGTCTGAAGTGACGAGCAGGGTGTGGGGAGGATCCTGACCACGGTCCCACACGGAGCAGGCAGGACAGGGGTGCTCCAGCCTGAGGAAGAGAACACCACTACAGAGCTGGGGAGAATACCGTTCCTGATGTCTCCAAAAGGCAGGCAGACATCCCACATCATTCCATTCCCAAGGGGATTCTCGGGTCTCCATGGGAGGGACTGGTGCTGCTCAGGGCTGGGCCAACCACACGTGGGTGAGGGAGGAGGGGAATGGGAGATCAGTGGGTTTATTCAGTGGCATTTCTGAGATTAAGGGTTGGGGGATGAAGGGTGTGTTTTGTTTCTCCAGCTCTCAGGGACGTGGGGACATCCCTGGATGCAGGGACAAGGAAGGGAAAAGAGAGCAAAGACCCAGCAAAACACCACGTCCTTCAACCTCCTCTCATCTGGGGCCTGGTGACCATTTTCCTCTCACGTGCACCCCAAGTTTTCACCCCTGTGGATCCAGGGTGGGTGATCCTGAACCTACCCAGCCCTTTGGGAGGGCTTGGAGTTGTCTGGGAGAGCAACCATTCCCTGCCAGTACGACGCTCCCAGGGCTGCAGGAGCTCATTCCAGTCGTCCCAGCAGCAACAAGTGGCACCTCCCCCAGTGCTCTGCAGCAGGAAAGAGCAGTTCTGCCCCCTTTTCACACAGCTGGAATCAGCTGGGGGAGACTACAGCACAATAAAAGAAAGACAGCAATGCCCTTTTTTCACCCCCATGTCCTCTCCTGATAACATGAATAAAGCTCTGTTTCGATATTCCATCCTTTCCAAAGGAGTCCCGTCGGGTCAGTCCAGGTCAGCTGTGGTTGCAGTCACACTCCCCTGACCCTTTCAGCCTTTACTTGATGAAATTTTTAATTGTCCACCTTTGTCCTGTGCAGCTGCGAAGGATCAGATCAATCCCAGCCATTCCCCTGTTCTCCACTTCCAGGCACCTCCCTGTGCCCTTGTTCAGGATGGCACCGTTCTGAAATGAAAGGAATGAATTAAAATTCAAGGATATGGGAAAGGTGTTAAAAAAAAAAAGAAGACCTTGAGTTGCCCATGAAGCAAATCAGGATGGCACCCAGGGGTGCAGACACGTCCTTGGGCTCTGCTGGAAGGTGCACAGCACCAGCTGGGTGGAAATGCAATTCCAACAATAAAATAATTCCTGGAAGGAATAATGGGAGTGGAATGAGCACCCATCAATGCCGACAGCACCCAAGGAACATCTGGGACCTTTAAATGCCCTGTGTTGGGAAGGTGGGACACTTGTGTACACAAGGTGGATTATTTACACTCTGCCTTGGCACAAAGATACTGTGTTTTCATGGAGATTATCCATAAGGAATGTGCAAGGCATTGGCAGGGCAGGCTATATCCACCAGCTCCACCTTTATGGTATCAGAAAGGAAAATCTCAACTAAAAATGGACCTGAAACTTGCCCCTGCTCCCTCTTTCCCTTTTCCCTCTGCCTTAGGACCCGGTCCCTGGGAGGTGCCCCAGCCCAGGGTTTAGGAAGCACACTTGGAGCACACCTGGATGAAACTCCAGCGCTTGTGGAGGCTGCTCTTGACCTTGTCGCAGTCCAGGAGCTGCGGGAAGCGGCTCTTCCCGTTATCCACCAGGCACCGCGTGTCCGGGAGAAGGGTGGTGGTTCCCAGGGCGCCCAGGTGAAGGAACCCCTCCTTGGTGTAACGTGCCAGCTGTGGGCAGGGAGGAACAGAAAGGACCATCAGCACCGTGGGAGCATCTCTGAAGTGACACAGGAAAGGACAGAACTGTGGGGATTGGGCACAGGGAGAGTGGCCTGGCACAGCCTCCAGAGCTCCAACAGGGCCCGGCAGCACCGTCAGACCTGGCCCTGTTCCCCAGGGATGGGAGCTCAAGTCTCCCCCACAGCTCAGCCCCAAGCAAAGGCTCAGAATTGCAGGTAATCCCTGCATATCCCAGCATATCCCAGCGTATCCCAGCATATCCCAGCATATCCCAGCATATCCCAGCATCCAACCTTCCAATGCTGCAAGAGACCTGGTTCAGCTGCCAAGGAGATGCAGGTTGGGAGCACCAGACCTGGTGCTGCCACTGGAAGGTCAGCAGGCATTGACACATCCCCACCCCGGGGCCACGCACAAAGGGCTCCTCCATTCCCAGGGTTTAAGGAATCCCACCCAAAGATTTCCCTAAAAATATTTAAATTCAGCAGTAAAAAGGAATGAATGACACTGTCCTGCCTTTTATAGTTCAAGGGAAAGATATCCACAGCTGCTTCTTTAAATTATGAATCAGGCCATTATCTGGCAGACAAATAAGGAGGACTCAGCACATTAATTAACTGAGCATATCTGTGACCCAGATGCTTAAAGAGAGAGAGTAAATCACACTGGGAGTTTGGGTTATCTGGGCTGCAATAATTAAACACTGAAAATGAAGTTAAAACAATGTAACAGGGTCCGACTCCAGCTCACAACCACAGATCCAGGGATGGTGCTGCCCAGATCCCTTGGGATGGGGGCCCGGCTCTGCTCCCACATGTTGGGCATCAGACAAACCCTCTGCTCCTTCATAGCCCACCAAGGGCCAATTGCCAAAAGCTTTCAGCACCAGGAGGGTTCAGGTGCAGCAGCCCCACAGCACCATCAGAGACCCATGGGATGGCTTGGGTTGGAAGGGACCTTGAGAGGACATTTAGTCCAACCCCCTGCCATGGGCAGGGACACCTTCCACCAGCCCAGGTTGCTCCAACCTGGCCTTGGACACTCCCAGGGCTGGGGCAGCCACAGCTTCTCCGGGGGCAAAGCTGCCCCATCCCGACCCCCAGTGCAGGATCTGCCCTTGGCCCCCCCAGAGCCCTTTCCCAGATGGTGCAGAACAGTTGTGCCCCCTTAGCCTGGCAGTAATTTCACCCTCCAAAATGCTGGGGTAGAAGGGAGGACAACCTGCAGAGTTGGAAGTCATAACCATCACCTCCTCCTCCCACCCATCCCCTGCCTCCCCCAGGCACGGAGAGCCCAAGTGCAGGATGTGGATCCTCTCCCACCCTGTGCTGACCTTCCAGCTGTGCCAGGGGCTGGAGCAAGTTGGGAATGACCCCAGGGCACCTTCAGCCCAGCTGAGGGCTTAGTTCCCGTCTCTGTGTCCAGCAGCTGGATGTGTCCATGGGACAAGCCTTGAGGGGGACGGTGCTCAAAGCCTGACAGTGATTTTAACCAGGCAGCTCATCTGAGAGAGCACCTGAGCACCACCTTCAGAGCATTCTGTGCCTCCATGGAAGTGTGGAGCAAGTCCAGAGGAGGGCCTGAAGTTGAGGGGGCTGGAGCACCTCCCCTGTGGACACAGGCTGAGTAATTTGGGGCTGTTCAGCTTGGAGAAGAGAAGGTGGTGTGCAGATCTCACAGCACCTTCCAGGATCTGAAAGGGCTACAGGGAAGCTGGAGAGGGGCTGTTCACCAGGAACTGACTGAAGTGACAGGGCAAGAGGAATCAGTTCAAACTGAAAGAGAGTAGGTTTAGATGGGATATTGGGAAGAAATCCTATGCTGGGGGATGGGGAGGCCCTGGCACAGGTTGCCCAGAGAAGCTGTGGCTGCCCCATCCCTGGAAGTGTCCAAGGCCAGGTTGGAGCAACCTGGGCTGGTGGAAGGTGTCCCTGCCCATGGCAGGGGTTGGACTAAATGTCCTCTCAAGGTCCCTTCCAACCCAAGCCATCCCATGGGTCTCTGATGGTGCTGTGGGGCTGCTGCACCTGAACCCTCCTGGTGCTGAAAGCTTTTGGCAATTGGCCCTTGGTGGGCTGTGAAGGAGCAGAGGGTTTGTCTGATGCCCAACATGTGGGAGCAGAGCCGGGCCCCCATCCCAAGGGATCTGGGAAGCACCATCCCTGGATCTGTGGTTATGATCTGGACTCTGTTGCATTGGAACAAGATGGGCTTTAAGGTCCCTTCCAGCCCAATCCATCCTGGGATTCTGGGATTCTATGGCGAGACTCCTTGTCTTGCAGAAAGGAAGGGGGGTATAAAATAAAATAAAATAAAATAAAATAAAATAAAATAAAATAAAATAAAATAAGACCAACTTTCTCCACGACAGAAGAAGAAGCCACCCAGATGTCCCCAAATGTGCAACGCGAGTTCTTTGCCGCCTCCCGCTCCCGAAACGTTTCCTGCCACGTTCGGGATTCGCGTGCCAGACGCTTCCCTTTTTTTATGAGACTTGGCAGCCTGTCCTCAGACAGCTGGCCCCGTGCCCACCAGGCACCACGAGCTCTGCTCTGACGTGTGATTGCCTAATGTGGTGGGAAAAATAAGTAGAGCAAAAACCCAACCCTTGCGCGGGAAAGCAGCGGGGAAGGGGGTGAGGGGAGAGGGGAGGAGCTGGAAAACACACGTGGATATGGGGCAGCCAATGCATCTATTGATGTGTCATCTCCTCTGTAAAACAAGGAAAAGAAGCCCCCAACATGTGTCTGGACTCAGCACAGGGCCCGGTGTTTGACCCAGTCTCTGACAAGGTCTGTCCAACTGCAAACCTGAGGGTGATTTTCCCAAAACAATCCTGTCTAACTTCTCTAACAAACCCCTCAGACATTTAGGGAATTTTCTTCTTTTGGGATGTTTACACAGAACTGGAGAGTCATGGAATGGTTTGGGTTGAAAGGGACCCTAAGGATCATCTCATCACACCCCCTGCCATGGGCAGGGACACCTTCCACCAGCCCAGGTTGCTCCAACCTGGCCTTGGACACTTCCAAGGATGGGACAGCCACAGCTTCTCTGGGCAACCTGTGCCAGGACCTCCCCACCCTCACAGGGAACAATTCCTTCCCAATATCCCATCTAACCCTGCCTCTGGGTCATGTCCCCCCATGCCTTGTCCCCAGTCCCTCTCCAGCTCTCCTGGAGCCCCTTTAGGTCCTGCAAGGGGCTCTCAGGTCTCCCAGAGCCTTCTCTTCTCCAGGTGAACCCCTCCAGCTCTCCCAGCCTGGCTCCATAGAAAAGGTGCTCCATGCCTTAATTCTGTTATTTTGCTTCTCTGCAGAGCTGAGGATCCCAACCCAGCCTGACACAGGACAAGAACCAAAGGGAAAAACCAAGACAAAGGACCAGAGGAAAACAGTTTAAAGCTCTTGCGAAGTTAACCATTTAAAAGTGGTTAATATTGGTGAAGTCTTAAACCCCTCCCTCAATCTCAGTGGCCCAAAGCCACATCCCCAGCCACAAACACACTGACTGACACCCAGAGCTGCTGGGAACATCCTTCCAGTAAAACCCTAGTCTGGTCCAACTGCATCTTGCCAAGGTCCCCCCTTGCAGGTACCACTTTGGGGGGCTGCTTTGCCCTTGGGGGGAATCACAGAATCCTTTAGGTTGGAAAAGCCTTCCAAGATCATCGAGTCCAACCTGTGCCCCATCCCCACCCTGTCCCTCGACCCAGAGCACTGAGAGCCACCTCCAGGCCTTCCTTGGACACCTCCAGGGGTGGGGACTCCAAACCTCCCTGGGCAGCCCCTGCCAGTGCCTGACAGCCCTTTCCAGGCAGAAATTCCTCCTGATGTCCCACCTGCCCCTCCCCTGGCACAGCTGGAGGCCGTTCCCTCTCCTCCTGTCCCTGTTCCCTGGGAGCAGAGCCCGACCCCCCCCCAGCTCCCCCCTCCTGTCAGGGATTGCAGAGCCAGAAGATCCCCCCTGAGCCTCCTTTTCTCCAGGCTGAGCCCCCCCAGCTCCCTCAGCCGCTCCTCAGGGGACTTCTCCCAGGGACCCCCAGCCCCCTGATCCAGGGGAGCAGAGGGACACAGAGCTCATGCTGACCTCTCCCTCCCTCAGCAAACCTGTCCCCCCCAGTCCATCTTGTGGGATTATTATTTCTGCCTGGGTGCATCTCAGGGAGGGGAGAAAGTTAATTAGACACCTTAGCACCTGGGAAATAAAAGCCTTGCTGACCTTCATTGACTCTATTGGAAAATAATTTAGGGTTGTTTAGCTTCCCTTCTGCACTGAGCAGCCCATCAATTAACAGCCCTCAGGAAAATGTTCACTATTTGCCTTTTAACACAATTTAATCTGATGTGCTGTTTCGTCACCTGTGTCCCACATGATCCCAGTATTGATGGGTTTGTCCTCAGGTTCTGCTGCTTAAATGGGAAAAACATATTTTATCCTATAATTAAATGAAATGCTCTGCTGGGTGAACATTATCTTAAGTTTTATAGCATTATAGTGCTTTTTATCACCTTCATACATCACCATAGTTCTGTCACTCCAATGAGGTATTACTGTATTATTAGTGTAATACATCATTACTGCAAGGTGTTTGCATGATGAATTGCTCCAAAGATGAAGCCATCAGGCAGGAAAAAAAAAAATCCATCAGCAGGCTCAACATAATTACGGGATAAAAGGATCCTTCATGATGGAATCTGGTCATGAGTTGACCTGGAAGTGCATGAAGGCAGGGAGAAGGGGAAGCCAAAGAGAAAACATGAGAAAACCCCCTAAAATGTCACCGGTGGGGGATACAGAGGAGGAGCTGTGAGTAAAGCCAAGTTCTCATCTGCATTCAGGGCCACCACACCCAGCTGCATCCAGCTCAGGGCTCCAGGCTGAGCTTAAACCCAGGAGCAGGAGAGAACAGAAATTCAGGATAGGACAAAAACTGCCCTGCCTTAATGGGATAAATGGGATAAATCCCTCCCTGCAGAGCAGCTCATTCCCCCTCTCTCCCCGTGGATCTAGGGACTGAAGGATGGTGTGGGGATGAACCCGGAAAGAACAAAGACTTCCAAGAACATCCCATCACCCCCAGCAGGGCAGGGAACAGGATCCACAGCCCCTGTTCTCAGACCACGACAGTGCCAGCAGGGAACCCACACCTTCCCCTCACTTGCTGCTGAGAAACCTGCCCTTAATTAATTAAACTAAATTCAGTTTAAATTAAACATGTCTGGGAAGGGCCACAGGATCAAGGAGAGAAAGGGGGATTTCAGGACACGATGTGCAACTTGAGCACCACCCTGTGTGCTTTGGGATGCTGAGCAGCTGCAAAGGAATTACAACTCCTTGTGGGTTTATGTATCTAACAATAAATTTAAAAATTATATATATATATATATTTATATATAACAAGTGTTTGCATTACATTCCCAGCCATAAATTACAACAAGCAGCCCATTAATTAAACAGTTGTAGAGAAAGTCCAATTTTGCTGCAAATTCCAGAGCTCCTGCACTCACTGACAACTCCTCTAAAAAAGCATTTCCGAGGAGTTTAACTCCTGGAATGTACCATGAAACAAAAGAACTGCCACGAACTGGCTCTCAGTGGGAAGAGGGAAGGGACAATGTGGAAGGCCAAGAAGAATCTCCGCTGAGGTTGGACAATGGGGAACAGGAAGGGAGTCAGCAGCACTGCCAGGTTTGGCTTCAGAACTTCAGGTAGGAGAAGAAAACACAGTTAAATTTAATCCCAGTAACTGAGGGAAAAATAAATAACCTGCTTTCAGCCATTCATCTCAGAGCCCTGGGTTAGCAGGCAATGTCAGCCTAATCCAGTTTCTCACACCATAATGCACTTAGATGTTGAAGTTTCCATCCACAGAGTCCAAAAGGTGCTTTGTGCCATTTGAGAAAAGAATGGTGTGCATTTAAGCAACAGTTTTGTTCTATTTAGCAGTGACTGGACCAGCCCCAGTTGCCTGATCTTTGTTGAAAGGCAGGGATAAACCAGAGGGAGATTGTCCCTCCCCTGAAGGGCTCCCACAGCTCACTCCCAGCCTCAGGTGGCTCCTGAATTTTCCAGTTCAGGCTCACATGAACTCTGGGATTCCTTAGTCTGGTGAGCCTGGAAAGCCCAAGGTGACCATGGAGTGAGAATGGGATCTTCATGCATTTCCATCACTTGAACTATTCATTATTTGAGCTGAAAATGAACCTCCTTGAGTGTGTTGGGCCCCAGGTACCCCTAAAATTTTCCAGAGGCAAAAGGAGTGGTAGAAAAGTAATGCAAAGGGAAATCCCAGCCAAGCTGAGATGGAAAATTGTCACAGCACTGTTTGTTTGGGCCATTTTTATTGTGCTGGGTGAAAGAGGAGGAATCAGGGAATCAGGGAGTGCTTTGGGTTAGAAGGGACCTTAAGGATCATCTTGTTCCAACTCCTGCCACGTGGCAACGCCTTCCACCTGCTCAGCCCCCCATCCTAACTGGCCTTGGATTGTGTCCTGCTCCTGGTTTGTTTGCTTCCATCATTACTCACCCCTGCCTGCAAGATTTTTCCAAACTTTTACTTGCAGCTCTGCCACCGTTGTGGCAATCCAGAAAACCAGGGCGGGAGGAAAAAAATTCCCTGTGATCCCTGAGGTGTTTTTAAACCCCACTGTGCCCTCTGGCAGTGTGTCCCCCCCCTCACCTGAGGCCCCCAGCCGTGGCAGGGGTACAGTATTGCTGTGTGGTTCTCCTGAGGGCCCTGGTCCAGGCACACGTCCTTGGCCTTGTTGTTTCGGAGCTGGAAGAAAGAAGAAGAGCAGAGTCACGGCCCTGTCAGCTCAGAGATGAAAAATGAAAGCTGCTCAACCCTCTCCTGCTGGAGAAGGACTGCAAGGTGTTACACCACAGGGAATAATCAGGTTTAGTGCACTGGATGTTTTTCTTTTAAATCCAGGGCTAATGGTGGTGGTTTCTATATTCCAAGGAGCCAGTTTCCCTGGACACGGTTTTCTCCTCTCTGCTCATGTGTGGTGGGAACAAAGCCAGCTTTAGGCTGCTGGCAGCAAGTTGCCAGGAGCCCAAAATCAGTGCAGGATTGCTCAGATTTCAGTGAAAACTGAACAGCAGGGGAAAAAAAGTCCAGCTGGGAGAAAAGGAGGGATGGAGGAGGAGAGGCAGAGATGGCAGAGCACTGCCATGAGCTGAAGGACACACTTTGGAGGGGCAGGGCAGGAGGGGTTTGTGGTCCAGACTCAGCCACCAAACCCTGGGCACCAGGGCTGGTCCTCAGAGCTCTGACTTTTCCAGAGCTCTCAGCTCTCCTCTCTCCAGGCTTCCCAGGCAGGGCCATAATGCAATAATGCCTTTGGAAACAGGCTGGGAGAGCTGGGGGGGTTCACCTGGAGAAGAAAAGGCTCTGGGAGACCTCAGAGCCCCTTCCAGAGCCTAAAGGGGTTCCAGGAGACCTGGAGAGGGACTGGGGACAAGGGATGGAGGGACAGGACAAGGGGGAATGGCTTCAAAGTGCCAGAGGGCAGGGTGAGATGGGATATTGGGAAGGAATTGTTGGCCCTGGCACAGGTTGCCCAGAGAAGCTGTGGCTGCCCCTGGATCCCTGGGAGTGTCCAAGGCCAGGTTGGAGCAACCTGGGCTGCTGGAAGATGTCCCTGCCCATGGCAGGGGGTGGGAATGGATCATCTTTAAAGTCCCTTCCAACCCAAAGCATTTTAGGTTTCTGTTATTCTATGAAAATACTTGTTGGGAGGTTTTAGCTGGAAGGCTTTAAGTAACTTTGATTACAAATCTTTCCTAAAATTATTCCCATCTGGGAGGCTCAGGCTGTGCTTCAAGGAGCCTCCTCCAACTGCCACTATTCCATCAGATCCATTGCAACAGAGGATTTATTATTAGTTCCCATAAATGCCTGTTTCTATATTCCCAGAATGGTTTCAAAGCCAGCAGAGATTGAATTAAGTCTCCTTACTTTATCTTGTCCTTAAGCTGTTGTGACAACACACTGTATCCTACAGAGACCTTGTCAGGAATTAGGCTGAGCTTAAGTCAGAGGGTTTTAGAAGATGATTGTGTATTAAAAATATACAAACAGCTGCTTAATCCACGCAGTCAATGGGAAATATAGATAATTTTTCTGTCAATTCAGTAAGTGATGTATTAAAATATTTTACTTTATACGGTCTCCAAGATCAGAAATAAATCCCCAAACAGGTTTTTAGAAGAAACTGGGAACAGATTGCTACAAATTTATATAATTAGACACAAAGAGTCAGTTTTGATTCACATTCATCTCCTCTGAGGCCATTTCTCATCAGAGAAACATCACCAGTCTGAGCTCAGGGGCTGCTCAGCATTAATTACCTCTCCATAAGCAATGGTGTTGTTGTATCTCCTCATTTCTGGATAAACATGGTCCAGGTACCACTGGAAATTTTTGCACTTCAGGCTCTTCCTTAACGCTTTTCTCTCCGAAACATCCCCGATGTCAATCCCTGGATTCTGGAAAACCAGGACACGGCACAGCATGGAGTGGTTACTCTTCAGGAAGGTTAAAAATGAATGTATTTCACTGGTGTTTTGAGGCCCTTTCCAAGCTTCCTGGAAGCTCCAGGAAGAGGCCACGCCAGGGAATTCTGGCTGAAATGATCCTCGCAGGAATCCCAGGGAAAATGTGGCTTTCAGAGCCACAGCAAGGAGGAGACACCCCTGGGATGGCCCCCAGGAGGGACATGCCTTGGTCCTGGGGGGAACTCAGGAAAGAGGAGCCAAATGGAGAAGAAATGGGAAGTGCAGGAATGATGGGGAATCTTCTCCACTCGCTTGGGCTTTGGATCCACCTGAGAAACACTGAGAAACACGTGTTTTTCCATAATATTTTGTTAAGGGAGGGGGGAAATCCACAACAACCAAACAAAAACACATAAAAATCCCAAATAAACAAAGATGAAACGGAATGGAAGGTTTGGGAAGGGAAGGTTTGGGAAGGGAAGGTTTGGGAAGGGAAAGAAAGGTTTGGGAAGGTTTGGGAAGGTTTGGGAAGGTTTGGGAAGGGAAGGTTTGGGAAGGTTTGGGAAGGTTTGGGAAGGGAAGGTTTGGGAAGGGAAGGTTTGGGAAGGTTTGGGAAGGTTTGGGAAGGGAAGGGAACAACAGTAAGGTTGTGTAGGCCCAGACTTGCAGCAGCAAACGGACATCAGGGTGTGAAAGGTGGAAAAAAACCCTTCCCTGACCCTCCACAGGGCTGTGACCCCACTGAGACACAAACAGAGGAGGGTTAAAAGGTAGAAAAAAAAGGGGGAAAGAAAGAAGAAGAAAGGTTGAAGATTCAGATATAACAGATCTAAGGATACAGGATAAACATGACCCAGGGACAGACGCTGAGGCTGAACCTCAGCAAAACCTCTTGACCATTTGGGCAATTCCAGGGTGAAAAAGTCTCCCTGGAGACATGGAGGAACCCACTGCTGGAGCAGATTTAAAAGCCAGGCTGTCCCTGAGGGATAATCCCACAGGAGCTGGGAGCAGGGGCTGGAGAGAGCTGCCCCCCCTTTAACCTCTTATTCTGGCCTGGAATTTGGGGAGCTAAGGCACCAGCAAGGAAGTCAAAGGCCCATTGCAGCCCCTTTTCCTCCTCCCTCCAGGTGTCTGGGTTTCCACCCAGACTCTATTTTAGCTCCTGCTCTTGTCTGTGCAGTGATCATTAAATACGACTGGGAAAGCAATTTTCCATTACAACACTTGTAATGATCTTCTAATGAATTATTCACTCTGCTTGAGAAAAGACACCATTTTAATGTGCCACTGGTAGGTCAGAGGTAAAAATAAAGATGATTCAGTCCAGACAGGTAGGACAGGCTGAAATCTGAGTGGACAAAATGGGGTGGGACAACAAATCAGTCAGGAAACACCTGAAATAGCAGGGCAGGGGTTTGCTTTGGGTTGGGATTCAGTGGCATCACAAAAGAATTCAGGGTATATCTATAAAATCCCACCCTAGCAAGCAAGGCTCCTCTAAAATTAAATCTGGAGGTTTTTTTTTGGTATATAAAAATCTCAACTTGATTTTGGGTCACCCAGACCCACCCCCAGTGCTGATCCATGTGCCTTTCCAAGCTCTACAGGACCTGCAGCTTCCCAGTGGGTTTTAAATTTCCTCAGCCCTACAGCTCCTGTCCCAACAGCTGGAGCAGTGCCCGTGGCAGGCAGTGTCCTCCTGCAGCTCCCTGGGCAAAGAGCTTTTCCTTCCATCTCTATTCCTCTGTTTCTTGCTGTTTTTATACCATCTATCCCAGGACTCCCCAGCACCCCCAGGACCACCAACCTGCAGCACAGGCAGCTCGTGGAGCCTTCCCAGGGACCTGCTGTTCTGTAATTCTCTACAAATTCTGGGACTTCCGTGACTCCAAATGCCAGGAACTCCCCACAGGTGTAACCTTTCCTCAGGAAGCAGCAGCAGCTCAGATTTTTAGGTTGTACTGTTTTTCCAGAGGCCCTGGAGCAGATGCTGCTCCAGCTGAGGATGCTGCTGCAGCAGCACCAGGAGCAGAGCAGGATCAGGATCAGGATCAGGATCCCAGCAGCAATCTGCTGAGATCTGCCAAGCAGGAATATTTTGGGGTTTATTTTTAGCACCAAGAGAGTCGCTAGAAATAACTGCTCCCATGGGCTCTGGACACTCCTGGCAGTGGTTTCACCTCACACTTCAGGAGAGCAGCCCAGCTCTCCATCACCCACTGCACGTGGGGGGGTGTCCAGGGCTCTGTGGGGCACCCAGAACCCTCATCCCACCCAAATCCTGGAGAGCATCACTGTCTCCCCACCCCCACCACCCCTCTGTCCTCCTCTGGCAGGACCAGCAGCAGGAGATGCTGCTCCCAGGGCACTCCAGGCAGCGGGAGATGCCTTTGGCTTCCCAGATCAGACACAACCTGCACGGAGAGCTGAGCCCAGGCAGCACCTTTGCCCTCCCGGAGCCCACAGAGCTTTCCCCAGCAGTGCCAGGCACCACCAAGAGCAGTCCCAGGCAGGCTGTGCCCCCTGGATGTGCTCACCTTGACCTGCTGGTGGGATCCCCCCATTTTCTGGGGCTTCCCTCAAAAACAACCTGTCAGATCTAAGAAAACCTGAGCGTTTCTGGGCAGAAATGACTGAACCACCAAAGCTGTTTCAACAGAGTGTTTTGGGGCCCTCGCCCACGGTGCTGCTGGGAGGGGATCTCCTGTGAGCCACCAGCCTCCAATCCTTTATTCTAAACATGGGTTTTAAGCACTTGACTCTCCAAAGGCAAACGTCCCCAAATTCAGGACCACAGAGAGCCCTGGGCAGTGCCAGTGTCTGTTAGCTGGGACATCCAGGATGGGCTGCACATGCCCCAGAGCTGCCTGAGCCCAGGGATGGACCTGACACCAGCACCACTGCCATGAATCACCTCCTGCCACAGCTTGCAGACAGGCTGCATCTGCAGGGCAGAGCCACGACACCAGCTCCCGCTGTGCAAACACTCCACGGGGACACAAACACTGCAACAGGTGGAACTTTTAGAAATGGAAATCAAAAGGCTGATGGGAACGGTGGGAATACCTCCAAAGAGTCTCCCTCAAAGCTGAGGGAGTTCTGACTTCCACAGCTGGGGAAGAGACCCAAGGGTGTTTCAGGCTCTGCTGCACCAGGGGCACTGAATGCTCTATAATTTGAGTTTTTAAGCAATGAAGGGAAAACTTAGGACAGGGTGCCTTAGCTGTGCTGATGCCTAAAATCAGCACTTAAAAGAAAGTGCCTAAAACTCAATTTGTGAGTTTTATTATTATTCCTGTTCTTCTTCTTCTTCTTCTTCTTATTATTATTATTATTATATTGGACGCACAAGAATCTGATTTCTTCCAGAGCCTGACTCCAGAGTTACCAAAGCCTCTTGTTTTTATTTAGTGACCCAATTAACAACTCAAAGCATTACCTAATTAACAATTCAAATCACTACTTAATACTGTCACACCCACTTCCAAAACAGTCCCTCCCTTAGTACCACCCTGGCCACACCTCCCGAATTTGAGTCAGAGGTCCCCAAAACGCCTTATCTTCATCTTCCTCATCTTCCTCCTCATCTCCTCTGCCCCTTCTGGAAGGGTTTCAAGGCTCCTGAGCAGCTTTGACTACTTCTATCAAGTGTTGTCTCTCTGTTCTGTCTCACTGCCAGTGCATTTTTACCCTGGTTAAAACCCCTTGCCTGTTGAAAATCCTTAACAAAGGACGTTAAGCAGCGTTTTTAGGAATTCTGGGAACGCTGGCAAGCTGAAGGTGCTAGCAAGCCATCCTAAAGCTCATTTCATGTAGGTTTGAAGGCCTCAGTACCTCCAGGGGCAGGTTCCAGGCGATGTAGACGTGCCACTTGTAGTCGTCCATCCACACCTCGGCCACGCGCAGCGCGTTGCGCTTGGTGTAGAACCCGATGTTGTTGTTGTAGGGCTTCTTCTTGCGCTCGATGTGGGCCACCCTGGAGCAGGGCAGGACCTCCATGCTGCCCCCACACAGCCACACCTGCAACACAAGCCACAGAACCGTCAGCTCTGGGCAGGGCAGAGGGAAAGGGGGAGTTGGGCAGAGCATCCCAACGTCGAGCTGGGAAGGGGGAACCCACGGCCAGGTTTGCTCACTAAGGGGTATTTGTCCCCTGGCCACGGCAGGGGGGTGGAACTAGGTGAGCTCCAAGGTCCCTTCCAACCCAAACCACTCTATAATTTACAGGATCACAGAATACGCTGGAAGGGCCCCACGGGGATCATCGAGGATAAAAAGGGAGAAAAGGAATGCCAAAAGAAAAAGGATTAATTTTTTATAATGTATCATCACCCTCTCCTCCCACTTCCATTCTCTGATGGAATGGAGCAGGGCTGAGATGGTCAGGTCCATTCAAAAATCATATTTTAAGGAGATGGCACATTAATACCAAGACCTGGTAGATCATGAATAGCCTGATGAGGCTGCTTGGCCCTGATCCCCTGGGAAAAGTTTTCCAGGGTTCATGACAGAGGAAAGAAATCTACAGGTAGAGCAACAACATTCCTTTCCCTGTTTCAGCAGGATATGGACTCTCCTTTGATTTTTCCTTGAGGTTTCCAAGAGAATTTATTAGTTCAGGACGAAGCTCTGCTGGAATTTCCAGCAGGATCACAGAGTCAGGGAATGTGCTGAGCTGGGAGGGACCCCCAAGGATCGTGGAGTCCAACCCTCAGCCCTGCACAGGCCCAACCCCAAGAGTCCCCCCCT